GTATTTGTTTCACGGGTTTAGTGTGAGCACTCTAATGAATATAATATGAGAGTTAAATTCGGACTTCGGCTCTGTGCGGATCATTGACTTGTTAATTATTTTGATTTAATCTCGCGCTAGAGAAAAATGTGAATATTAAATTATTAATAACAATAACAATAATAAGAATATTCAAGTAAGTTTGAAATTGGGAGTAGATTTACAAAACTTCGGTTTTCCCATCTTAGACCACGTGTCATTCTCTTGAAAATACATTTCTATATCGTTCGAATCCTCCCCCCCCCCCCTACCTTTCCGTCGTTTTGATAACTGCAATTGTTACGTTTGAGTTGTATCCATATTCATGTGTCTTCTCATGTACAACCGTTAAACAAACAAAAAATACTCTAGGGAATTACAGGTGGTCTGAAATGGGGAAACAATACGCCTTAAAATGGACCTCTATTAGGTTTTTTTTAAAAAAAAAGCGATATATGAGTTTGTTTTTAGGTTTAGGAAGGAAAGAAAATCAAACGTTCTGGTTTCAGCAGATGAAACGCCGCTCTGGTATTAGCGTTACTTGTAAAATGTAAATTATTATATTTTTCCAGTTTCCTTCAAGTTGCCCCTACAATATTAGTACGGCACCGTAATGAAAGCGAAAATGAGAAATCGCTCAAACCGATGGAAGAAAAACTAAGGAAATAGAGACCTTCCCGCGGCCCAAAACAATGTAAAATATTAATTTTCCCCAGACTTTCGTCAGAACTCAGTAATAATGGACACGACTAGCAGTTCGTTTGAACGTGTCTAAGTGTAATAGAAAAATCAGTGGGTATATGCGCTAGCCGCTTGCATGTTATTGGGACAATATACATTAACATATATAAACACTTTAACATGATCAGTCTTTCATACCTAAACAGCTGCTTTTGTAAATATTCCAATCATACTTTGCCAACTGAATAGTTTGATGAGCGAAGGGAGTCTTAGATCGTCTGGAACAACTCTGAAAAAGTTAACCAATCACGATGCAGAGTGAAAATGTGAGCCAATCAGGTGAGAGCAGAATAAATAGCATTTTGACCTCAGGTAATCAAGTTTCGTTGCTCTGTACTGTGATAACATCGAAGATGTCTGTCACGTGATAGCATTGGCTCAAATAGATATGCTATATTTTCGTTCTACGTCTTGATTAGTAAACTGTGAAAGAGTTGGAGTAAATATATACCATGGATTTACAGATAAAAAATACAAGGCAAAAAAAAAAGAGTAACGTGTAAGCTTATCAAGATATTAGTGTAGTTAGCACAATTAAGCAGAGAATTTAGGGTCCCTGTATAAGTCCTAAGAGGGCTAGGTTTTCATAGTATTTACATTTGTAAGGTTTAATCTAAATTCCCATTTTTCAAGAAGTGCTACAAATGTTAAGTTATTGATCTTTGGACGCCATTCCTTGCATTAGTGTTATTTGATTATTTTCTTTTTAGACTTTCAAGAAGTAATCAAGGAGTTTTCAAAACCCATTCTTTTTTATAAATGCCCTCAAAAAAGCATTTCGGATTACAGCTGTTTATATATAGGTAGGGTGGCCCTACAGTTAGGGCTATCTCTTCTTATTGGTATTCCCAAAGGAGTTTTCCCTAGCACCAGGGTCACCCTACCTTCATGTGAACAGTCTCTCATAAGGTAGGGTAATCCTACTGCTAGGGCTATCTCTTGTTTTTGGTGTCCCCTGGGGAAGGAAAACAAAAGACTTGTCCCTAGCATCAGGGTCATCCTTCCTTCATGTGAACGGTCTCTGGCTCAAAAGTATTTCTCAAAGGTAGGGTGACTCATTCTACCTTTACGTGAATGAAGACTTATATAGCAATATTCAGGGAATTTAAAGAATACTATGACAGCATGTTCCCCAAATACTGTCAGTGCTTATCAACAAGTCTACCTATCTAAAAGTTGTCACTTCACTCTTTCTAGTCAATAAATATATACCAAAATGTTCTTCATTTTTATATCTTAGTCTACTTGGATTATAATCAATAATCGTCGTGTCCGTTAAAAATCTCTTCTTCGACTTCCTCTTCGACTTCTTCGCCATCCTCCTCGTCCATCCCTCCCTTGATATCCCGCTCAGCACCCATGCCACGCCCAAGGGGTACTCCTAGGGATTTGTGGACGGCTTCTATTGTTTTGATATTGACATAGTATGCCATGTTGACTGTTGGGACTCGTTGACGCATGTCTTCCATGAATGAGTACGCCTGTTGAGAAAAGAACAGCCAGTTTTTAGTTCTCTGATACTCGGGGTAATTAGCCCGGCTCCATTTTGTAAAGAATGGACCAAATCCACTTGGGCGTAATGTTTTGCCCATTTCAGACCACGTGTCATTCTCTCGAGAATAAGATTCTTTGTACGAGTTGTATCTATATTCATGTGTCTTCTCATGTGCAACTGTTAAACAATGAAATAATACTCTAGGAAATGACACGTGGTCTTAATGGGAAAGCAGCGGATTAGTTATATATTCACAGTTACAGTGAAAGTCCGTCGAATTTCAAAGTGTTTGTATCATTGAAGATTTGCGATAGGGCACAACCCTTAGTAAATGAGTCCATAAATAAAACAACAACAACAACGACAAAAAAACAAAACAAAAAAGAAAAAACAAAAACAAAAACAAGAAAAAAACAAAAAAGCAAAAACAAACAAAGAAACAAAAAAAGCGTTAATGTACGGCTATTGTAAAGCTAGTAGCCCTCCGGTTACGTGATCGAATTGGAATCTTAGACAAAAAACTCATGAAGTATAGAGGTGATTAGCAGTGGTGTAGCCAGGGTACCAGAGTTGGAGGGGCGAGCATACGAGTTTTGGCGCGAAAATTCCCGCCAAACTCACAGGTAACCAAACAAAATAGGAAAAATTACGATTTGTAGTCAAACTTGTTGTTTTTTCAGTTTCATTCTACGTCTATTATTAGTGATTAGTCATCAATAATAATATGGAAAACAGAACAGGTTTTTCTGAGGTCTATTCAGTAATACAGCACGCGGGAAGTGATAAAAACACGAGAAGAGTGCTAGAATGAGTTAAGCACGATTTACCTTAGGATAGTTTCGTTCACGAGCGAAGTGTTCTATTATTAATCCATACACATCTCCTATTCTTACTGCCGTTTCTAGGTCAGGTTCTTCCAGTAGAAGCTGGCAGCTTTTGATAGCCTCTTCTGGATTTTCTTCGTACGCCCTGTTGTATACAAATAGAGAAATTTGTGAGCAAATCAAAGAACGGTATAGAAGAAGGTGGTGATTATGAGGTTGATGACGATAACAAAGTACTTGTCTTCCTGGCTAAATGAAGGATAAACTAAGAGGATGATTCATCGATTGAGGTTTTAATGATGCAAATGATGACAATACTGCTGTTGTGATCAAGTGGAAACCAACAAGTTGATGACGGTGATGACGGTGATGACGGTGATGTAGGTGGTGGTGGTGCCATTGTTGATAGTGGTGATGATAATGATAATGATTATGGCGATGAGTGGTGGTAATGATGATGATGATGATGATGGTAATTGACAGTGATGTGATGATTKTAATGATATTCATAATGACCTGATTAATAGAGCTAAATAGAAGTTTGACGTCAATCGTTTGTTCTTTTTAATACTTTTTGTTCATGACAGGRTTTGTTGTCCAAAGTTTTTATTTTTTCAGGTAGAGTTAAATCATTAAGAACATTTTTGGCATCATTTTCTGAGCGGTTTTATGAGCAGGAAACACGTCACAACTTCAAAGCTCAAAAGCAGTATCTATAATACCTTCTTGCTTGTACAAACTTCTTGATTAATCCTATTCTCTGTTTCAAGAAGGCAACTTTCTCTTCCTGTTCAATGACATTCTTCACCTTGGCTTTAGCCATACACTTGTAGGCTTCTGTCATGGCACCCAAAGCTTTGTCATAGTTCTGATACTCATCGATCTCCACCTTGGATGTATAAGAACAATTATTAAAAAAWATATCAATATATAAATTATTGGACTCAGCAATAATTATTATAGATTGCACGAGATATTTCAAAAGTATCGCATAGTCTTCTTCTTCTTTTTTTTCTTTTTGAACTATGAATACTATAAATACTATCTAATCATGCATTGTTGCCCTGAGTCCAAGAATTTATACACCTATTTCGAAAATCGTTGTCGCACCTAGAGCCTCAAGTAACAAGCTAAGGCTCCAGAGAACGTCGGTACTTTTAATTATAATTGATTTATCATGGTTCATGCAAGCGGCTATAGCTCTCCACTAATTATCATCTCAAGCAGGCTTGTTTGGAGCAATTTGTGAAGTCAATAAATGAAAATGCACCATGAATAAACTAATTACACTAAAACACTAAAAGTACCAGCGTTCTCTGCGGTCTTGGCTTGTTGCTTGAGGCTTTTGGTGCGACAACGATTTCTGAAATAGGTGTATATTGATAATATGCTTCCAGAGTAAGGAATCAAACTACCCCACCCCCAAGTATCAGGGTGCATGCCACGTCGTAGCCGCCATGTTGGTTCAGGTTGACATTCCTCATTAAGCTTCTCTTGCTAGATCAACCAAGATGGCGGCTGTTTTGTCACATGGTTCTACTACAAGAATACATCACTGTCATAAATTCGCATTTAGATTAATCGATATGTCTCTCACCTGTGCACATGCATCATAGAATCCCGCCAGAAGATCCAACGCTCGTCCCTTGTTATAGAATCCTATTATATTCTTCATGATTTCAGGGTCTTTCCGCCAGTCCAGCGATTGCAGATAGTTAGCCGCCATCACGTAGATCTCGCGTTGTCGCGATACACCAGCGAAAAAGACGATTTTCTCTGTGTCTCCGCTCTTGAGAAGCGCCTTCATTGCCTATGGTAAAATATAAAACAGGGTGGTTAAAGTAGATTGGAGTTGCATCGATTTTATCAAACCCCTGAAACAGCCTCTGCGGTGAGGCACGGCTATGTTACAGATTGAATTGAAATTTAGCGCGTTTTGTTTTGTGGATGGAAGAGCCCAGAGATCAAGGTAAAATCCCTACAAACATATGATCTGTGCCGAGTTCAGGAATGGAACCAGGGACCCACGTCTCAAGAGGTGAGAGGTGAATCCTTCACTGAAGTCTGGTTCACGAGATTTTAACTCAGTTGGGTATTTGATACCAAGCCGAGACTTACTTTCATTTTATTGCCAGCTTGTGTAAATTTCTTGGTTGCTAGGTGATAGGAACCTTGCTGCATAGCACATTCAGCGATTTGTTCCAGCATGGCAACTCTGTTTGCTTCTCCTTTTGGCAATGTCATCTTCTCTGCAAGTTCTTCTGTGATCGTTACGTTATGAGCCAAACAGAGGTCCAGCGCTTCTGAATACTGAAATAAGCATTTAGGAAATATTAGACAATCAGACAGACAGACAGACAGACAGACAGACAGACAGAAAGACACACCGACCAGACAGAAGGTATGCACACAGACAGTTGGACAGACAGACTGACTGCGAGGCTGGGAGACATTACACACAGAGAGAAGAGACACATACAAGGACAGACATACAAACAGGCCACAGGCAGATAAAAATAAGGAAGAGCCAATGCTTCATAATGGAATTTCTTGAAGAAAGTTATTTCTTATCACAAAACATTTTGTTCAGAAACKAATTCAATTGTGCATATATAAATACGGTAAATAACTCTACAAACAACGCGTAAAGCAGAGTGGCGCAGTGGAAGCGTGCTGGGCCCATAACCCAGAGGTCCGAGGATCGAAACCTCGCTCTGCTAAGTTTTATCTTCATTTTTAGACATTTTAGCATTTTATCTCTCTTTATTTACTTTAGGAATNCCCAGAGGTCCGAGGATCGAAACCTCGCTCTGCTAAGTTTTATCTTCATTTTTAGACATTTTAGCATTTTATCTCTCTTTATTTACTTTAGGAATAGTTTCCCTTCATACACCCCTTTTCGTAGGTACAAGTCAAATCCCCCTTCTTTTAAGGTTCATACTAAATTTTCAACTTTTCAACAGAATGGGGAGGTGTTATTTTATTCATAAGCTGATGCAATGGTGCTCGATGATATTACGCGAGAATTGGACATGAATAAATGAGTTAAGTAGGCAAAACTAAAACATGTAAAGCAGAGTGGCGCAGTGGAAGCGTGCTGGGCCCATAACCCAGAGGTCCAAGGATCGAAACCTTGCTCTGCTAACGCCGACATTTTTTGTCTATTCATCCAAAATTATTCTTATTATTATTGCATCATTAAATCATTACGATTAAGTTTTACTTTCGGTGCGGTTTAMATTGTGATTTAGAACACGCAGGATCTTGGAAGAACCTTACAGCGTATTCTTGGTTTTCACCTACGTCATCATGAATTTCAAAAGCGTAAATTCGCATTATAATGAAATAGAAGTTTTATATTCTTGTAAAGCGGTCCAAACTACGTATACTGGCCAAATTTTAAGGCTGTAAAGCATTTAGTTGCGGAACTATAGGCGAGTAAACATGACGCAATTTTTGGTTAAAATGTATGGAGCCGCCATCTTGGTGTTCCAAGTTGGTACACCATCATGGCGGACGAAATTCCAAAGGCTTAAAATGATGGAATATTTAATATGTTTGACTATTTTTCACTTAAATATACTTTAAATAGATATTTTAAACGTGTCTATGGGAAAATCTTTCAACTAAAGTAAATTATTTTAATATTTTTATCGCTATTTAGATAGACGTGACGGTATTGCGTGACACAAACTCAACCTTCATAACTCGGGAACCAAACATCGAAATGAGTCAAGATTTTTTCTTGTGGTTTGTAACACTGATTTCTAAAACATACTTGAGAAATGTCATTATACGATCTATAGTTTAGATTTTGATGTTTTGATGACGTCATGTGAAAACCAGCAAAAAATAAACTGATAAAATACAAACGAAGAAACAAATATAGACCGAGACAAGAAGAATGATGGAAGGAAGGAACAACAACTAAATAAGTAAAACGAACAAAGTCCAAATATGAAGAAATAAAAAGAAAAACAAATAACACAAACAAACAAACACCTAAAAGCAAACCATAATAAAGCAGACAAATCTAGCCATGTACCTTTTTGCCAATGACATAGAGATCTACACCCTTATCGTACTGGCCATGCTCAATGAAGAACTCAGCACACTTGTCAATCATGACGGGATCTGTGTTCTCATCCAGATCTTCTGCTATGACTTGAAGGGCAGCGAATTGTTGGGTACGGAAGCAAAGATCTAACGCTCTGGTAATATTACCACCCTACAACGATCAACAATATTAAGTCTATTATCTCAACTTGGGTTGGGTAGCCTGTGTCTTCGTGGTCGTATGGAAAAACGACGTCCAGGTACAACACGAAACACATTCTTACTATTTCTACATGACAGGATTTGTTGTCCAAAGGTTTCATTTTTTCAGGTGGAGGTTAAATTATGGAGAACATTTTTCGCTTTGTTTTAGAGAGGTTCTTATATTCACCATTTTCCGTACATCGGTTCACTGGTCAAACACAAAGCACTCAGTCAAGGTTTCAAGGTTCAAATTTGAATAATCCTTTGAAAGTACCTTGTCGCCTCGCTTGAGCGCTTTGTGTTTGACCAGTGAACCAATGTATTGAAAATGGTGAATCGGAGCAGTTGGACCCAGAAATGAAATGATCACGACTTATAAGCTATTGATGTTCTGCAATCATTAACAAGGGGGCCAAAAAAAGCCCAAGATGTGGCAGTCATGTTGGTGGTATTAACGATGGAAATTAATGCACCACGGCGATGACGTAACTTGCAAAAGAAGACATGATTCTAAAGCAAGACACTGAACGATAAATTAATAACAGTAAACGATAATAAAGCAAAACCGTGAAAGTTGAATTTTATCATAAACCTGGTTTCTAGATTTTCCTTTTGTGTTTTGCTTTCCTAAAGAGAACTGTTTTTTCTTGGTTCTTTTTCATTTTTCTCTATTTTTTTGTCCAGTTACGTTTTATTGGCTTTATCATTGTTTCCTATTTAGACAATACTGGTTTTTTTTAAGGGTACTGTTA